AAAAATTTTCTAAAAAGTCAAAAATTTGACTTTTCCTTTCAGATCTTTCAAAGAACAGATTTACTGAAATTCCTCCAGATGTCTGGCTGTTTGCACCACTTGAGACTTTAAATTTGTATCACAACTGCATCAAATCCATTCCTGAAACCATCAAAAATCTGCAGATGTTAACATATCTTAATATTAGGTGAGTAACTCTTTTTTCCTGTTGATGTCTAGGGATTATATATAGACCATCAGGAAAGATGGCATTCATCCTCCTCAAGACCTTGATTAGTTTAGTTCCCTGCTTTTTCTCAGCTTGTTAAACGTTGTTCTATAGTTTGTCTTTGGTTGTAGGTCAAGTAGCTCCTTCTTCCTTCATGGGAAGGAGTTGACTGTATTACCATATTCCAAACCGTAATTTGCAGAAGCTAACTATGTGGGAAGCTAATGGAATTTCCTTTCTTTCTGGTGCTATACAGATAAGTGTCTATGAAGGTTGGAAATAGGCTATAGAACCTGTATTATTCTGTTCAGAAGGCTCTATTGACGTAGCACACACATGAGTAGTGAGAGAGGTGACTGCATTACTGAAAACAAATAGTAGGATCCTGTGAGACGAAAGAAAAGAAATAAACACCAGCTTTACAGGAAGACTTATTTATAAAGTGTAATCGGTATACATAAATATTGTATGGGGCATTAGGGAAAACTGTAACCTTCCCTTGCGCAGTTGAGACTTGTTTTCTACAATATACCCAAATTTTGGTCCCTGATCACCTAAAATCTTCTGGAATAATCTCTTCCACTATACATTTTGCATATGGGATTTGTGACCATTGGTCATTTTGTTCTTGCCAAGTTTGAGGTGACTTGACTGATAGAGAGGATTCAGGAAAAATAATTGTTAATCATGTCTTGAAAGCTCCAATGCTACCCCCCATGTCCTGTCTCTTTTTTTTTTAACTCATAATTTCAAGTGAAGTTTAGTCAGAAGCTTATGGAGATGTAGTATACAGGACCAAATTTGAACCAGGAAGGAATATTTAGGAAGTTGTGCACTGGCAAATTTGCAGAGTAAGAATGGTCTGCTTTGTGGAGGATTTAAAGAGCACTAGTGACATCTGAGAGACCTACGCTGTTTTTCTTTTCCTGTGCAAAGGGCTGCAAAGCACAATCCTTTTCTGCTTCTGGGGATAAAAGATGCAGGAAAAAACCTCCTTAAACAAAACTAGAACAAATGCACATTTAAGTGGGGGGTTTATTTCTGCATTGAAGCAGGTTCTTGGGGTATTTGGGTGGCCTGTTCCATGATGCGCTTTACTTCTCTGGGGGAGTATCCTTGCTTGGTGAAGAGGAGGAAGGACTCAGCTGCTTTCAGACACTCCTGCAGGCTCTGTCTCTGTCTGTGGTTACCCAAAACAGCTCCCTCAACTCTCCCTCTGTGTTGCTAGTCAAAATCACTGTATAGCTTGAGTGTTTCACAGTGTGGTGGGTCATTCTCTTGAGCTAGGCTAGCTGGAGTGGAGTAACTAGACTCTACTGTTGGAATGAAGACAAGCCCTAACACTAGCAAATTAGATCAATCCAGCTACGTTGCTCAGGGGTGAGAAAAATTCAAACCCCCAGAGTGACATAGTTTAAGCCAATCTAAGTTCAGTCTTCCATCAGTCTTGGTACTGCTTCTTGGGGAGAGGAGTTACCTACACTGACAGGAGAACTCCTGCCATCAGCCTAGGTCAGTGGTCTCAAACTTTTTTTTACTGGCGACCCCTTTCACACAGCAAGCCTCTGAGTGTGACCTCCCCCCCCCCAATAAATTAAACACACTTTTTAATATATTTAACACCATTGTAAATGCTGGAGGCAAGCAGGGTTTAGGATGGAGGTTAAGTCGCGACTCCCCCACGTAATAACCTCGCGAGCACCCGCAGTTTGAGAACCCCTGGCCTAGGTAATATCTACTCTAAAGTGCAGCTGTTCTGCTGTAGCTTTTCAAGTGTAGACAAGCCCAGAGATTCAATTTACAAGTCAATGGGTTTGCTTATTTTGTCTTGTTTATCTTGAGTCCATTTCACTTGACATTACTTGTACAGGCTGGTCTGCCAAGACGTTGAAATGTTTTTATAATTGCATCTTGTTCCCTAGATTTACATCATATTATTGGAAGGCTAAATTATTACACTAGAACGCTATTTTATTCAAATTGAATGGGGACATGGAGTTTATTTGGCTAAGGCAGGCTTTTTTCATGTAAGTGATTCACACTGGGGAACAGATAAAATTTGAAGGGGTATTGCTGTGTACTTTAATACCTATTGGAACAGAGAGAATGTTTTCTTGGAATTCATACAAGCTTCAAAAGACTCTCTCAATGTAATCTTTTTTTCCCTTTTTAGTCGAAATCTTTTAGCAACATTGCCAAAATACCTGTTTGACCTGCCACTTAAAGTTTTGGTTGTCAGTAATAATAAGCTGGTATCCCTTCCAGAAGAAATTGGAAAGTTAAGAGACCTGATGGAGTTGGTGAGTATAATTGTGTACATCAGTGTTCAGTGTATTTACAGTATAGATACTTTTTTACCGCACTAATCAGTTATCATTTGATATTACTACTAGTAGTAGTTTATTATGGTAGTGTAAAGGGCTGACTAAGAGTGGGGTCCTGTTATGCTAAGCACTGTACAGAGTAGAAGACAGTCCCTGTCGTAAAGAGCTTACAGCAGAAAGACACCCATCTGGTCGGGGAAGGGGATATAAGACAAAAGCAGAGTGAACAATATGACGGCAGCAAACGTCATGTTGTTGCCTGTATTTTTTTGGTGGGGGTGGAGGGAGGGAATTACGTAGGAGATAAACTAACAGGGAAGGGGAAGTGAGGGGAATGGAGAGGGTGGCGCTAACAGCTGATTGGCACAGGGCAAAGAAAGACAAGTCAAAACTGTGCGAAGTTCTCTGACGGTATGTTTACACAGTGCTTTGAAGCCAGGGGAGCAAGTCTCCCAGCCCAGGTTGACAGACTTGAGCTAGCAGGGCTAGTGCTAGCATAAAAACAGCTGTGTATACCGCTCTTTGAAGTTGTAGCTTGGGTTGGAGCTTGGGGCCTGAAGCCTCAGGGAGCGGGTGATCTGTTTACTTGGGCTGGGAGGCTTGGTCTTGTGGGTTTCCAAAACTCTGTGTAGATCTACCCGAAATGTCTAGAACTCCCTACTTCGGCTACTTGTGCTCCTATTGGCTGGAGTCTGACTGGTTCCCCACTGTAGTTTTTCCCAAAGGCCATGTGGCAGGGACAAGCTAAGGAACCTCCTGGATCCTAATCCCTCCAGGTTATGGGGAGTCTCTCCTGTACAGTTCTGGGTCCACATTGATGCAGAATGCCAACTTAATTATTGCATGGTCAGTGTCTGATAGCATGTTACAAAAGTACAGTATATTGCAGAACTCAAAGTACATTTACTGAGTTATTAACAATTTAGAATAACTAAACATTGAAATATGTAAGTAATCAAACTTTCTCTTAATACAGTGACATGAAAGACAGATCTGGGAAACCTCTATTGAATATGGTTTCTCAGTTTAATATGTAGTAACAAGTAAATTATGAAGGAATGTAGCCTCACTTACTATAAAATGAAGTTGGGTCTTTTAACTTAATTTTCGCTGTAGTTCACCTGTAATAGATATGCTTAGTTTTGTGATAAGTCTAGAACATTGCACTCACACCTGTAATGAAACATGAGCATATTCCAGGTCCCAGTTTTTTCATTTGAAAAGTCAGAAATAAAGATTTAACTCAGTTTCCTTTGTGAAATATGTTAGTGAAATGAATTCCCATTATTTATCCTGTTCCTTTCTCTTGTGGGTCTGTACTATGCCTTCTGTGTGGGTAAAGAAACAGTTTTTTGGGGGGGGGGGAGGGGAGAAGAATACTACATTTTGATCAGCTAGTCAATGTATTTGAAAGTACCTTGTCAAGGTATCTTTCATATGTTTACTCACTGTTCAAAGCCCCTTGAATCTGACATCTTTACCATTTGAAAATGGGATAAATGTTTTTACTATTGGGGATTTTACAGGGGTTTCATAAAGTTCATCTTCAAAAGCCAAGTAAGAATTAATTGCCAAGTAATAATTTAATGTGAGGAGGCAATCTGGTATTAAGCAAAGATTAGTTTTTTGCAGTCTGTATACAATTGCACCCAGAATGGATTCTGAGTGTATTAATGGCTGTATAATAACTTGATAGAACAATGAGGACCTGGGCTAGATCTGGTCACTTGTCAGTGTTGAGGTGCACTATTGTCTCACTGCACATCGTAAACACCTGCCCCCCATTTCTGTAGAAATTCAGACTCAATGCCTTTGGTAATATAATTGTGTATGCTCTTCTAATCACTTCTGCAACATTTAAAATGTTCTTTCTTACACTGTATGTATGTAGAACTTGAACATTCTGGCTTTTTAAAATTACAGATCCATGGGATCACTCACTGACAGAAATCTAGACCTGCAGTGCTCTGTATATGCGCATGTAAAATATTGCCAGAAATAAAAAATCCACCACAAGGTGTAAAATGAGATCTTGAATATTAAATATAGCTCCTGTATGTAGGTTTGTGCTCTGCTGCCTTTACTGTAGTGGTTTTCAAGCACACTGCCAGCTGTACACAACATGAAGGTGTTTTTAATCCTGGTGCTTAAATACCCTTTCATGTCCATTTCCACTATTGTTTGATGATCTGCATTCGAGATAACATCTCTAGCCCGTCAAGTAGGCATGCTGTCTTTATTCTAAAGACTCAAAGCAACAGTTGCCAACCAAGAATATTGAGATGAGTATTTTTAAAAATATTAACCATTCCAGCTCTATTTTTGTCCCTTAAAAAAATATTTTCACTTTAATAAATAAATTAAAAAATAAATAATGTGTACGTCACCACTCTGCATTATAATTATCAAGAAAATTCAACAGATTAAAAAGCATTTGTTGCCACAAATAAAACTGAAGTGTAAATTTTTAATGTTTTTTATCACCCTTCCTTATTTACTTCATGGACTTGGAATAGAAAACTCTGTTAAACTATTATTTAAGTGTACTGAAAACTGGTTAACAATCCACGTTGAAAATTTAAGACTGGTAGGCAACCCAGGTAGTCAAATGGACTCTGGAGAGAGATGTTGGGAAGGAATTCTGTCCTAAAGTAGGGAGGCGGAAGAGAGAGAATGGGGACACGTACACAGGAGTGGAGTCACTTGTCCCACCGCCTGAGCAGGGGAGCTGCACAGGAGAAAAGATGGATTTATGTCTAGAGACCTACCCTTTAAAATGAACATCCAGTTTTCATCTGCAGAATTGGGTAGTTAGACATGTAAGTGTTATCATTGCACACATGAATCACACTTGGAAAACTGGAGCTAGAGGTCTCTCTTGTTGAACCAGTGTTCAGCCAGGTTAGAAATAAGTTTTTAGGTTTTCTCCATATTTTATTAAAGCTTATGCTAAAATTATCTAAAACACTGGTTAATAAAGAAGTTTCTATTCATCAGAGTATAATGTTAAATTGTCCAAAAGTAGCAAGTTTGATTTAAAAAGTCATAAAATGGATATAATACATAATCTGCAATATCTCAAATTAGGGTTAATAAATTTAACAGTACATTTAGAAAATACTCAAGATACATCAGATACATCACTCATGGAAAGTTTTATACTAAGAGTAGCTTGTGGAAAATATAATAATGAGTGTAGATTGTCCCTCAATAATCAAAAATGTAAAGTAGGTTGTCCATGAATAAATACGGTCCACCAGAGAAGAATTTCAGCTACTTTCCTGTCTTTGCTTCTCATTGGCACTGTAGCTCATTTCTCCTGGTATTGCCAATGTCTGGTGATTTATTCTAGTCTAAATAAATGTCTCTTGATCACCTGATGGTGTCTGATGCTGTGAGTCACTGCTTTAGCCGGGCACTGAGCTGACTGATTCCACATTCTAGTAGCACTCGCTTGTTACCAGGATCTCGGGTGCCCCAGGCTCCCACAATCAGTCCATGTGTTTGAACCTTGTAACCCCTGGCCCTCAAAGCATCAGCCAGGGGGGTGTATTTCTTCAGCTTTCGAGCTCTGGCACCGCAGAAGGTCAGGGTTCTGTTCTCAAAAGGAACTGTCATCCACCATGACGACCACCTTCTGTTCCTCATTAGTAATGACTGTGTCCAGTCGCAGTTGATTCTCTGTTCCAAGGACAGTGGAGTTCACGGCAACCTTTGCCACGGTTGGTAGAATGGCCTTGATTAGGTGGTCTTGGATAATGGTGTGGCGCAGCTGGCAGGCTTTGAAGTTAGGTTTGCAGCTGCACAAGATGTGGGGTAGTGTCTCGTTAGCAAAGTCAAACTTTCTGCATTGATTGTCCCAATGACTCCGTTCAGCAGGATGCAATTGAGCCAAGCCCTGTTGTTGAATTTCCAGTCGGCAAATCAGGTGAAGCTGTCCCTGGGGAGGAAGTGGTTGCTGGCATCCCACTTGCTTGTCACCTCAAAAGCCACCTCGAAAGCCTTGACCTGGTCCAACTTCCATCTCAGGTTTTCCACTTACTGCCAACGGATGGCATCGTTCAGTGTCCTCTTGAGTATGGTCCTTGCTGTCAGAGTAATGACTGTGTGCTTGATGTTCTTGACCTGTGGCCCCAAGACTCCCAGCTCCTGATGTTCCTCATACCATGTCCAGAGGCAGTCAATAAGCTGCTGCAGCCATCATGTAGCATTGTGGGTACAAGTCCAAAGTGAAGCAGTGTCTCCCCAGTCTGTTCCAAATTCGCCTTCCAGGGAGCCACTCAAGTATGTGGCGACGTCTTGGCTGGAAGGGGCCCTAGCTATTCGCTTCCTGCTGACATCACGCACAGCACTGGCTGCAGTGCTCCTCACCATAGTGTCCTGGTATGTCAAAAGACAGAATGTGCGAGTGATCACCACAGTGTTGCATAGATCACCATTCAAAGAATGTTGACACTACCCTGCCTATGCAAGATGTCCACCAGTTCATTATTGGCCCTCTGAGGAAGGTACATCCACTTCTTCACCACCTACCTTATGGTGTTGTCCGCCTTGTTGAGAGTTTCCTTCCCACGCTTACATGAATGCCTAAACAAACATTAATTTAGTCTTGCAACACCTGTGAGAAGTAGGTGTAAACTCTGCTTATTCACTGTGGCTGAACCACAGCAGCCTTTGTGAGACCAGAATGATTTTTTTTTCTGAGGCAGTAGAGCAGCAGGTTCCTAAACTTTTTGCTAGCACAACCCTATCTTAATGAAGTATTTCCTGCTGGTGACCACAGACAGCATGGAGGATGCCATTTTATAGAGCAACTTCTGCACAGCGTGACCTCGCACGCTCCGTATGTGTGAAGTCATGCCGCATGGAGGATGCTCTACTAAATGGCACCCTCTGCAAAGTGTGACCTTGTATGTCTGGTGCGTGTGAGGTCACACTATGCAGAGGATGCCATTTTGTAGAGTGAAATGGTGTACTCCATGCATTGTGACCTTGCACTCACTGTACATGCAAGGTTATGCTGCGTGGCACAAAATGGCATTTTCCACACACTAGGGATTGCCGTCATCCCCTCTGCTGATGGTGTGACCCCATTTGGTGTTGCAACCCACAGTTTTGGAACTGCTACAGTAGAGACTCATCATTTTAGATCCAGTGGTCTCAGGTGATTGTGTAACATAGGGAAGAAGAAAAATTATTATCCCCATTTTGCAGAGGTACAGAATGTAAGTGAGCTGTCTGCAATTACACAAAAGACAGATGGGAATCAAATCCAGATCTCCTGATTGGGTCCAGTGCAAATCTCAAGGTGGCCTTTCCTTGTCCATTGGATTAGACTCCTTGATTGGACTCCCACACTACCAAATGTTGCTGCAGATTGGGAAAGACTCTCCTGAGAGCTGGATTATAGCGGCTCTCAATTTGGTAAGAAAAGGGGGACAAAAGGAATGAGAATATCGTTCTTTAAAACGTGTTTTTGTAATAGCTTTCACTGAAATTTTTCCTTTGTTTAATTTCAATCGAGCTATTCAGCTCATTGACACATTATCTTTTACTTAGGATATCAGCTGCAATGAGATTCAGGTCCTTCCCCAGCAAATAGGAAAACTCCAGTCACTTAGAGAATTAAACATTAGAAGAAATAATCTCCATGTGTTGCCAGATGGTAAGCTGCTCACCATCCTCGTGTTGAACTAGGTCAATTACACAAAACATGAGGGTGTCTGATTTTGTTCTCTTTCCCCCTTAACAGAATTGGGAGACCTTCCCTTGGTAAAGCTGGATTTTTCTTGTAATAAAATTACAGAGATCCCAGTTTGTTACAGGAAATTACGTCATTTACAAGTAATAATTTTGGATAACAATCCAATGCAGATACCACCGGCACAGGTTAGTATAAAAAACTTCCATTTTCTCAACTTTTCCAGGATTTTAAGAAAGGGTGAGATGTGTTAGGTTAATTACCAACCAACTGGCAGTGGCACAAGAAAATATCATGAGGGCATTTCTTGACCCATAATCCTTTGCTCAAAACATTATTTTGTAGTTTAGTCATTCATCCCACCTTTTACATTACTTAATCTGGAGGCCAGACTAGATAATTGTAATAGTCCATTCTATCCTTTAATTAAAAAATAAATTAAAAAAACAACCTATGAATAAACCCCTGAAAATCAGGCTAATGCTGATTATATTATGGGGTAGTCTGATAGATTGTCATGAACATCCAAAGATTTAACTCAGGAGAAAAATTATAGGTGTGAATGTTAGGGTCAGTCGTCTTTCTCCCACACACAAACATCTTTCTTTCTCTGCATCCATGTTTCTGCTTGTTCTTTCCACCTGCTTTATGTTGCTGATCTTTTCCTCAACCCAGCCCTATAGAAACATAATGAGCAAGGTCCACCCCCAAAACTCTTAAAAATCAGTTTAATCTAATCTGAAACTACAAACAATATCCGGCACTAGTCATAATTGCATGGTAATTGAATTAGTTATTGAATAACGTCATTACAGGGTGGATTAAAGGCACCCAAACAGCGGTATCTTTGCATTTCCATACCTTAACATCTTTGGATTTCTTTTAAGTTTAATTCTAATATTCCTGGGCTTGTGATGCTTGTTTTGATAATTGCTACATCCCTTTTTTTTTTACCGTTAAATTACTGATACGTACACAACCTTGACTCCAGGTCAGCGTAGTTTTTATCTTGGTATTATATAGCACTTGTTTTTTCCCTTTCTGACATTTGAAAATAATCATAAAATTTACTTTAATACAGTTGTATGAGTTGTACTTATTAGAAACAACTTTGACAAGAAAATTAATGTTGGTGTTTAATTTTGTTTGTTTATAACCCATATACTGGCTTAGTTTGATATGTATTATGAGTTTCATACAGCATGTATCAGAAATGTCCAAACTCAGCTCCTTTCCTCCCTGATCCCTGAGATGTTATTTACCTTTGTTGCGGCTTCAGCCACCCTGGTACCTTTCCCTCTGACCGGTATTCTGATGCTTCTGTGTCTGATGTATGCAGTGTTGTTGTAGCCATGTTGCTCCCAGAATATTAGTGGCAAGGTGGTTGAGGTAATAATACCTCTTACTGGACCAGCTTCTGTTGGTGAGAGAGACAAACTTTCGAGCTTACACAGCTCAAAAGTTTGTCTCTCACCAAGAGAAGTTGGTCCAATAAGACACATCACGTCACCCACCTTGTCTCTGTGCCTGATGTCATTCAGACCACGGGTAGCCTTCTCTGCTGACCTTACTCGGCAGGCAGGCAGCCCTGGCAGTTTTATGTACCCAAAGAGCGGGTCTGCTTGTCTTGGGCTTCTGGACAATTAGATTTTTTTTCCACCCTGACTGCTAAACTACTAAAGCTCCATTTTTTTTCATTTGAATAGTAGAAAGTAAATGAAAATAACTCTTAAATGTAGAAAGTATCTGATGTATGATATTATAAATATGCCATGCATCTAAATTAATTTTTTCATGTGTTTCTTAACAGATATGTTTAAAGGGCAAAGTTCACATATTTAAATTCCTCAGTATTCAAGAATGCCTCAGAATAGATAAAAAACCAGATTCCTTAGATCTTCCATCACTGGGTAAAAGAATCCCATCCCAGCCACTCACAGACAGGTATTACCGTTCTTCTTTAGAACTACTTAATGTTTGCTATGAAATAAGTGTTTAGGATAATGGAGAACTACTCTCACAATAAGGTCATGTAATTTTAATAGTTGTATTTACTTTTAAGGCATCATTATTACAAGTTAATTGATTGCTTTCAAGAAGAATTATATCAATTACATTCTCTCTTCATTCTTTTTATCTTTTGCTACAAAGCAAATAGTAATTGTACTTTTTCAAATTTTCAGTAGTAGAGTACATCAGAAATTAGAATAAAGATGGATTTTGAATGCGTGTTTTGAAATGGGCAGCTTTTCTTTTTCATACTACTACAGTACAGTCTAGTATTGAAGTTATATTCCTCTGAGCTTGCTCAAAATAGAACTGTATTGCTAGATGGAAAGCCTGCCTTCCAATGTTGATCCAGCTGCATAAATTTATAAGGAATTATAAAATGAGAAATACCTTACAAAGCTTCAGAAAAACAAGAGAAATCAAACTGAAAAGTTCAAATGAAGTAAAAAGTGCAATGTATTTTGCTGGACTTTCTCAATTAAGATACTTCTGTTATCTGCTTCAGAACTATCTGATATCAACAGTCTTTAACCAGTCTTGTTTTAGGAAACTGTATTACCTACAGCACAAGACTTTACCCTTGCCAATATACTTAAAATTTCATCCACACCCTGTGCCAGTATTTGTTGACTTGGTGCTGAATAACCGAGAAAAGCTGTTTGCTGTGACAGGGGATCTCTGGAACATTCAACCTCTGTGAGAGAAGAACGAGTTAGTTATCAAAGGGGCTTAACAAAGCATAATGGGATGAAAATGTACAAATGTGAATGTAGGCTGGATATCAGACACAATACCACACCTGAGGGCTTGTCTACACTGGGAAATAGCCTGGAATAGCTGTTTTAAACTAGCTCCCCACGTGGACACTTATTCTGCACGGAGAGTGGATTAAGCTAAACTGCGAGAAGGAACTCTTAGTGCAGAATGAGTGTCCCTGTGGGGGGTTAGTGCAGAATATTGCACTTGAAATTCACACAGCGCTTGAATGGACTTCAGGGAAACAATCCTGAATTTTTTGGGAAGTTGAACGAGATAACCCAATTGATCTTCTCAACCTTAAATTTCTATCAGATATCCTTCTTTAAAATAGCCTCTCAGCACACTAACATTTCTATAGTGGGTCTTGTGTCACAGATAGGTGTAAAAGAAAGCAATAAACCCTTTGTCCCAGCAACCATAGAGATATGGGGGGAAACATCTTCAAAATGGTGTCTTCCTTTCACTTACCCTTTAGAAAAGCGATATCTTGTCTTACCTGCAATGCCTTCTCTTTGTTATAGTATGGAAGACTTTTATCCCAATAAAAATCATGGTCCTGACTCTGGCATTGGCAGTGATAATGGGGATAAAAGATTGTCTACAACTGAAGTGAGTGGTTTTTTTTACTAATCACTGTATATTTTTTATTTTTCTGTGTTGATAGAAGAGGGCTGAAAGGACAGTAATTTTCTTCATTTACAGAAGCAGTTTATTGTTTAGCTTGTGCATAATTTTGCTGCGCTAAATTGGTTATTTCTTTGTCATTCAGATGTGCTTTGTAGAACTTGAGAAAGCTTAAATGTAATGCATATTGCAGTTAAATGAACTCAGTAAAATGTGCGACAAACTTACTGTAAACAGTGTAGTTGTAGCTGTGTGGTCCCAGAATATTAAACAGACAAGGTGGGTGAGGTAGTATCTTTTATTGGACCAACTTCTGATGGTGAAACTTGCTGTCAAGCATAGAATGATGACACTAAATATTAAAATTATTTATATGTCCCTCTGAATATTTAGCCCTAATTAGTTGCATGGTGCTCTGTCACCCTACTCCAAGCTTTTTAAAAATTGAACTCTGAACCAAATCAGTGGTGGCTTGTTTGGCCATTTTCAGATAGAAAATGCAAGATCATTTTTTAAAACAGGGAACGATTAATTTGAGAGTTGCTTTTGTTTTTCTAATAATTTCTGTTTTAATATAAGTTGAGGTATAATGTATTTTTCTTTGCATTGGCTGTTTATTAATGGGGACTATTGATTGACATATTAGCCATATTATCAACAACATTTAAAAACTATAAGGGAATTGGGGTTTTTATCCTATTTTTCCAATAGCTTGCTTATGTAGCTGCATGAATCTTTGTGTAATCAATTACAGTTTGAGTAACAGCAGTACTAAAATTGAATATGGTAAAATTATAAAACTGGGACTAAGGGAAGATTTAAGTCTAGGCTAAAAAAATGTACTTGCAAATTCATCTGAAGCATAATTAGATTGTTCGTAGGAAATTGTAAAGTGGAGGAGTATTCCAGGATTATGTCAAGAAAGGTCAAACTGATTAGAAGTAAAGTGGCCACACAAACTTAATGGACAGAATCACAGCTCCTTTAATTAAGTGTGGTTGTGCTTGGTAATTGTTTGGGTGGAGAAATGTCTGTGTGCTTCAGAAACTGTTGATTTTGTAGGTAACACACTTTACTCAGCTAAGAGACCAGTGACCCCAAAATTGTGCTGCAGGGCACTGTAAATAAAAAGTAGTGTCTTTCAGATGAAACGAAACATGTCTTGACCACAGTTTGCATTCATATAAGTGTTTCACCTAAATCTTCCCTCATAGTAGGCTCTTTAACGACATTCAGATTCTATGTTGTAATTTGTGGCTTATCAGTAAGCTGAGTAATTTAATATGCCAGTCATGTTTTAATTCTGATTATTCTTTGTAGCCATCTGATGATGACACAATCAGCCTTCACTCTCAGGTATCAGAATCGACGAGGGAACAGACGTTAAGGAATGACAATCATTTAATAGGAAGTAGATTTGACTCACATAAAGGTAATGCCTAATCTTTTTAGTACACAGAAACACTCTATTGTTTCAGGTTCAGATAATTTTCGTTAAGCACTGCACAAGATTATATTATGTATTAGATCTGTGCATTTACACTCAAGCAACATTGTAATAAAATTATAAATATAAGATCAACAAACATACAACAAAGAAAAAGCCATCTCTTGAAAATCTTGTCTAGCTATATAGCAAGAGCTCACTGTATTAGTTATATTTGACTTTGTCACAAGTACCTCTTAGGAATAACGTTAGGTTGAGAGAACTGTTTAACATTTTATTTTTTTCAAACTTGATCAATCATCCCTAGACCAGGAGGTGTATGATTACATTGACCCTAACGCAGAAGATGCAGCTATTCCTGAACAAGGAGATGTACAAATGGGACCGTTTGTCTCTTATGTTAAGGTAACGTAACTTAATAAGTGGAAAACATTAGATGGAGCATCTTGGTCATTAATGTCTAAACTCTTAATTTTTTTTCCTTCTGTATAAGGAACGAGGAAAACACCCTGAGAAATTGCAGAAAATAGAAGGGAATGATGAGTGGGGAGATGAAAAAAGGTAGGCCTTATAAATATCTCTCAATATTTCCAAAGCAGAGTTCTGCGATAGTGGGTACAAGCACCTGCGGTTGGGCAGAAGATCAGCTTTTAGGAAGAGTTTTTTGCTGTCAAGTAACACGATCATTTGCTTAAAAAAACAAGTCCCCAAACATGCATGCCTTTCCATAACCTGCTGAAAACAGACTGTTCATCTTTCAGGCTTCAGAAAGAGCAGCTATTGGCAGAGGAAGATGATGAATTGAAAGAAGTGACTGACTTGAGAAAAATAGCTGCTCAGCTACTGCAACAAGAGCAGAAAAACAGGTAATACGAAATCCAACTACAGTAAACATGGCACACAACTTGTCTAACCCATTTGTTTTTCCATGTAAGTTGTCTGGTTAAAACTCTCGTTTGTTTGTTTTATAGCTTTGAGGATAGACTTGTGCAACTAAAGACATTAAACAGTCAAACAAATTTATACCAAATGTTTAGGGGGGGGGGTTGGTCTCCTATCTGTTTTCATAAAATCGCTTGACAGAGAAGCAACAGTGTCCAGATGTAACCTGTATATTGTAATAGATAGCAATTAATGATTATTTTTTACATTGCTCATCTAGTGGAAAGGAGAGCAGGAAATTCATTTGATGTGAACATCTTATGTTTCATAATGTTAAGCTAGTCATTGATTATCTGATCAGGTGTTTAACACTGGCACTTTTCAAAGTGAGACACTCCTATGTAAAAATGATGGAAATTAGTAATGACAAATTCTTGGCATTATTGCTGATGTGCTAAAATGCTCTAAGCATAGATTATAAATGACCATTTAGCACCATGTACTGCTTGTGTGTGGTTGGTTATTTTTACAGAATATGAAGTTTTCAGTGAATGCAGGATACCAGATTTTAGAGGATAACTCCTCCATTCAGACTACCAAGATATAATATTTTGCTAAGGATGAGGAGAGAGGACCCTTGCTCAAGCATGTGTCTTTCAAATGATAAAACACACAAACAAGTTGAATAGCAGTAGTCCATCCTGGCCATCTAGTTAGCTGGCAGTTTCCAATGGGCATTGCAGAGGAAGGGGCTCTTGAGGAGGGATTTGGAGTGGGAAAGGAGAGTGGTTTTATGGACTAGTTTGGGCAGGGTATTCTATATATATGTGTAACAAGGAAGAAAATAAAAAGGTGGGAAAAACGGGTGATGGAGTGAGAGGGGGAAAGAAGGCAATATGAGAAGATACAAGAGAGGATAAGTAGGGAAGGGCTAAGTTGTTATTGATAAGGACCAGAAGCTTGTATTTGATGTTGGGGAGAATGGAGTAGAACCAGTGCAATCCTGAATGGAAGGGCTCTGAGAGGATTATTTGGGAGAGTCAATGGCACATTGGCAGATGGATTTCTGGATGTGGCATTCAGTGATGGTGAAGAAGTGGTGTTCTATAAGGAACATGGCAGAACTAAGAGGGGTTAAAGAGTATTTGTAGTAGGGGAATCTGCATGGTCATAGGATTTCCCACCAATGTGCTCAGCTGTGCAGGAGCAAGACCAAAGGAAGCAGAGAGAGTGTGGCAGCAATCTAGCAAGATGACACATTCCAGAATCAGATGAATACAGTTTTCATTAGTGTCTTAAATTTCAGCATAGCAATGAGATGCTGGGGATGCTACGCATCTGTTTGTCTTCAAACATTGTGAAAGATATTAAACCCTAAAATATCCTGATATTGCAGCTGCATATTGTCAAGCTTTAGAAATTGGCCAGAGTTTATCCCCATTGAGTACTTATTATATCACAACTAATGAATTGGTGTTAGCTGAGTTTAATATTAACTGTGTGAAAAGATAATATGAATGTTTCTGTAGCTTTAATTACTTGTAATTCTATTTAAAGTATTTAGGAATGTGGACGTGTCCATAGGGAAGGGAAATATTATTAAGAAAGAGAGATAAGTAGGAAACAGTAATTTTAGTCCTGGTTAGTTGGCAACTGGCAAAAAAGAAAATATTTTGAATTCTTTCTGTACTATAAAATATAAACAATATTTTAAAATTATAGTAAACATTCTTTCAAAACAGTCATGTTATTTTTTTAAATGGTGATAATTATATTGGAAAAACATGTTGTAAATCTCCTTATGTCATCATTTGTTACACCAAACATTTCCTCTGTGACCAGACTTCTAACCTAGTGCTGCTTTAAATTACTTTTGTTAAGCATAGCCGTTACTGTGTTGTATTTAGTAATTGAGTTCAGAACTCTACATTCTGCTTTGGTTGGCATTGCAATGGTTATACTTGCATGAACCTATTGATTTGCTAAGCTTTACTGCTATATCTGTGACACTTGTATTTAATATTTGTGTACATTTTTTAAAACGTGGAGACAAACTCAGCACTGATTTAAACTATATGCAGTCAGCAAAATATAGCAAGATGTAAGTCGGCCCTGATTTTTACTCATAATTTTTTGTGACTGTATAATTCCTTGTAGTGACCGCAATAAGAATTGGAATTAGAGATTAACAGTTGAAATATTTCTGGTTTTGGATCTACAACTTTGTAAACATTTAGATTGTGCAATTTTGACCTGATCACATGGACTCCTCTAAAATTTGTGCAATCTAATAATTTCTTATTAACCTTAACTCTGATCATTTAGCATGTTTTCTTTTAATCCTGTGAAATCTATCCTCTTTTTCTTTTCTGCTTGCTATACTAATGACTTCCCTGTCCTCTCCCATCAACTTCTCCTGCTTCCTTCTTCCATCTCTGGGTTTGGTGTACATGAAATGTGAATACAGACGGAGACCATTAACCTATAGAACTTCATTCAGTGAAAAACTCTTCCAGAGGACGAGGGCTGCAGGACGTGCATCCAGGTATCTAGTGTTTGTGGAGCTTAAAACTCTGAAGATCGCATGTTAGACAAAAGCAATATTATCAAGACTTGGCTTATGCAAAATAGAACAAAGTAACTGAGTGAATTTGTATAGGATATTTAATGGCCAAAAAACTGATCACAAACTCAATTGTTATGAACACATTCAATATTGTCCAAGAGGAAGTGCGTTTGTATTTCAGAACATTAGGTAGTTTAATATTAGCTATTCAGAGGTAACCTCCAATTGTAAGCTTGACATTTTTTTTTCAGTCCCTACCACTGACTTCACCAGACCTAAGCAACCAGCCTGAAATTTCAAATATTCTATCTTGCCCTAGATAACAATTTTCTGCAAAGTTCAAGATGGAGGGAGTGGGCAACCAGTAAAAGCCACATGGGGTACAAGAAGTTCAGTATTGGGATATGAAAGGAAGAGCCATATGTAAAGATGGGATACTGCCTTGAAAGGAATGGGGTCCTTCTGCCTATTGATTTTAGAATCCATCTGAATTCCTTACCCCACTTGCAAGACCCACCAAGGTCCTGTACACATGGCATATTCTGCAGGGATTCCTGTCACTGAGTAATTGTTGAGTATTTTAAGCTAAGGGGACTTCCAGACAAAAATCTTTTAACGTCCAGTTAAGGTGTCATGACACAATTTTTCACTTGACTTGGAAAATTCTTGAGAACAGTGTAGTGTATTCAGGAAACCCAAACATTAGAGCCTACTAATGCCAAGTGAAGATTCCACATCATTTAAAAACAAAACAACCTATTAAACTTTGGAAAGTAAGCACAGGTAAGGTCAGCCCCCCATCATCCCTTCTAATCTAAAGTTTGGAGAAGATGCTGTACTTGTAATGTCTGTCAATAGAAGACTGAAAATCTGAGTGATTTTCATTTACCATGCAAAAATTAAACTTCATGACAATCAGGTGGAGATTGTATACACTAGTTTGGTGTACAGCAAAATTTGTATAATTGTCAGGACATGGAATCTTTTTAAACAGGAGAAAAACGATGGTACTCATGCAGTATGTCTTGCAAAGAAATACGGAAGTACTCTTCTAGTGATAAATAAGGCCAGACTCCCTTCAATTACTGATTGTCATGTACAATAAAGAGTGAGGGTTGAGTGTGAAGAGATGTGATGTGGATGGAAATGGTGGAATTTGTCCTGGTAGCATCACTCTGAGAATAACTTGAGTTAAGAATTTGTGAGCGACTTGACACATTCATTTTTCATTAGACCCTTCAGTTTGTTGACTTTTTTTTATAAAATGGAATCTTAGTTTTGGAGTTACAAAGCTTTCTAATGTCGGTTGGTTGGTTTGTTTTTTGAGAAAAGTATAATGTTCTCAAGGGTGGGGCAATGTTTGGAATGAACGAATGACTCTTTTTTTTCCAGTTCAGAGAATTTTACCTTGAACTGTTGGGCTTGGAAACTTAGTAAATACAGATTAATTAGCTTCCATGCAGTTTTATAAACAGGTTGTAGACATTTTCCCAACGAACCTGCAAAAATCCATTTAGCTCTGTCATTCAGTCTCACAGGAAATTCGAAAAGCCCTGACTAGTCAAACATCCAACCACTAACCTGACAGATACTGAATTTGCTGTTACTTACTAGTGCATTTACTCTAAGAATTCATTTTTGAGTATACCGTTCCAGACTGTTTTCAATACTGGAAAAAAAGCTCTGAATTTATTTTTACAAAGTACAGTATTTAAAATATATTTGAACACCCATATAAATGTCTTGGTTTTTAATGATTGGAAGCATCAGTGACTTGTATCATTAATGGAAATAGTTTCAACCAGCAAAAATGCACACATCGTTAGTATTTAATGTGTCAAACGGCTTATTTCTAAAACTGCATGTCAGTCTTACATGAAATCATTTTATCTACACTGACAGTTTCAGTTGTGACATCAAAGTTAAGTGATTCAAATTATTCCATTTTTAATCTTCAATTCTATTCCAAGGGTCTTATTTTGCCATCAGTATCCTCTAAATTGTCCACTGACTTCAGTGGAAATATTTCCTGAAAACTAAGGATCCTAAAATGGTTTCATTATATTACAGTATTTGCTATATCACATAGCACAAACATTGTAGTCTTATGTAAGTATTTGTTCTGGATAATTAAAAATTTTTTTCCATACGTCAAAACACCCCGAAATATTCAGTCCTTAAAGACTGAATATAGGGAATGTGGACTGGAGGGAGTATATTTTCCAGTTTCAGAGTTTAATCTGCATGATTTTATTGCGTTGAATGAGATTTGTACAGTCACACCACCATACAACACTTACCCTGTCATTGAAAAGTGTTTATAGTACCATTAAGCTGAGCCACCTATGATGAGGTTGAATGAAAGCCTGTGATACAAGTCCACAGTTAAAATTAATTCACTGCTACTAAAGACAGTTGTAAGAGAATGATTAATCTGTGACTTAAAATGTAGGTGTCTATTTCACTTTCCCAATTTTACTCTTTATCCTTCTAGTACATATTTGTTTTTATTATCATTATTATCATCAATCAATCATCATCATTATTATTACTGAATTCTAGGTTTTTGTGTAATTTAAGAGTACACTTTGATTTCACGGTGAGCAGGACTGAGAACAATGGAGTATTACAGTGCAACATTTTCTGTCCTAAGAATTCAAAAATCCTGAGTCCAACCCCAAAATAGCATGAGACTTGCTTGAAAATGTTCAGTTATAAAAATTGCTCTGTTTATTGGTTTGCCTTCTGTCTTTTTAATCCTTTAAGGGGGGCAGCCCCATCTCTTTCTACACTGTGTGTGATTGTTTCAGGGTAATAATCCACCCCTAAATGCACACACAAGCATAGGCCACCAGCTGTTTTGAGGGTGACTTCAGTTGCCCATTCCAGGGTTGAGGAGGGTAATTGCCATTTTATTCAGCGCCATTCTCCCCATCATTGTTCTGACTCCCTCCCAATTCTCTCAACCTTTCCCGCAGTCTCCTGCTCAAAACCCCACTGCCAGTTTCCTGTTTATTTTACATTTCCCCTGCTCCCCATGCTGGGCCTCACTAGCCACCTGTATGTTCTTCCTGACTGCTCTCACGCTGCATTCCCAGGCCCCACTGTCTCCTGTCTTTGGGTAGATACTGACTGGGCCTCTAAGCTGAAGGCTGGCTGGCTTTAAACCCAATGAGAACAGTTGATGTGGTGGCCTCTTGTGTAAAAAATGAGGAAGGAGACCTAGATTTTTCTTAGATTGTAAAGAGTTGTTTTGGTTTGGGTTTGTTTTTTTTAAAGAAATACCTACTATTGCAAGACTTGAGAAAGCATAAAAGTTGGAAACTCTGCTATTGACTTCAGTGGAAGCAGGACTGGGCTCTGTTGGGTTTTCTTTATATAAGCACATTCAGATTCTATGTAAGATCTATGCCACTTAAATATTCAGAGTGTTTATTTTGTAGGAAGCATTTAATGGAGAAGGCGCTGTATACTTTACAGAGGTTGCTAACTAGAGAGCTGTCAGATAAATGTGTGTTTTCTTTGTAGGCTTCTTAATCATTCGACCTCAGTAAGCACAAGAAACAGGCCAAAGCAGACTGTGGAATCTGAAAAAAGGTATTAAGACATTTTTAGCGCTTTCTTTCATAGTACTGAAGTAAGATTTTTTTTTTGTGTGTGTGTGTGTGAGAACATTTTATACAGGGTAGGGAAGGAACACTGAACAATGAGGACTGAATTCTTCCCTTGAATGTTCGCGACTTTTGTGGGAGCCTCACACTCCTTCCACTGACAAAATTTGGATGTGAAATACAGCTGTTGGAATAATAATACCAGAGCACTTTTTAGCTGTTCTGGGGTTGTGGTGGTAGTCTCCTTCAAGAAATTATTTTTTGTTTAATTCTGGTATAATATGATCATTAAGACATTTTACAGCAGTGTATTTTTCTGTAGATCTGATATCACGTTTCATGGTGTGAAAAAAACTGAAAGTTCTTATTCTTTCAGCCATGAGTTCATAAAATGATTAGTATTCCGGACCGCAATGTGCCCTTTACTGTATTGCTACTCTACTGGGTGACCTTATCTGCCTTTTGTGATGAGAGACCCAAACTTTACTTATACCAGTGTTGATAAAGGGGTATGTTTTTTAGGAAACAAAGGCCAGAATTGCTTGGTGTCTGCTAACACCACCCTCTGACTCACGGTCCCCAGCAGCAGAAAATCAATCTCAGGGGGGTGAGGGGTTCAGCAAGTAAGGTTCTCACAGCTGAGAGTCTGGTTGAGGAGCTGATTCAATGGAAAACTTGGGGGTTCAGCAGCTAGCAGGGAGGCCTGCTCTTCCCAGGCTTGATTTTTCTCTCCACTTGGTCCCTGGTGGGCACAGTGAGGTGCAGTTTGCACTTCCCTGCACCATTGGGACTGAATTGAATTCTAGTATCTTACCTAAGTATCTAACATTCGTATGGTTTGGGTTGCTCAGATTCCATTGCTGAAGTTCAGTTATAAATTGAAGAATTTTGTTCTAGATCACTAAAAGCTTACACCAGTTCCTCTGATAATGCATGTTTGAAATACTTGGGAATGAATTGCATAGTTCCCTTTCATTTATTTTTTTCTGTGAATGATATGTGCCTACTATATGTTGTAGTAACATCCAAGATTATTCTGACAGAAGTCAGTGAAAATATTTTTATTTTTCATTTTGTTTACTTGGCGCATTTGGCAGGTTGTGTGTAGAATCAGTTTCACTGTTTGCCCTCTTTAGTCAGTTTGTCTGTTTCTTTCTGGTTGAAAAGAACAGATAAAAGGTAAAAATTTTATAAGGCATTTTAAGGAAAAAACTCAGAACGCTCTCTTTGAAAGGGTGCCCTGTCAAAAGAATTTGTTTTAGTTTGCCAATTTTAAAAGAAATGCAAGTTGATCGTGTCCCTTAGATGTCAGTTTTGTTTAATTTTGGCATGTCCCTAATGTGAAAAGCTCTCTCGGCCATTGAGTTTAATTTACCAGTTTTATTCTTTGAAATATAGTCAGATTAGTTTCTTATCTATATTAGGAATAACTTGGGGGTAACTTTGAATTTCTCACTTTGAACATTTAAGTAGAACTTGAAAAAATTAGTTTTGGTGTTTAACTTAAACTGTTAGTAATCTGAAAAACACTTCTATATGGTGTAAACAGTGCATTTCCAAGTTATTTAGGCATTAAAATTGAGCAGTAAACTGAAAGCAAACTTTTTTAATCCTAAATTTTGTTTGTTTTTTCTAGGGATACTGTTGGTTTGCTAGAGTTCTTTAATGGAGGTTTTTGCTGTTTGTGGCTGCTAATAAACATTTCCCAATTGTAAATAGAAGCATCAGGAGTGGAAAAGCTATTCTGCAAATCATATCCGTGAATAATGCCAAATCCTAAACCCAGCTACTGGGCAGGGGAGAGCACAATTACAATTACTTGGTATATTCAGGAGCGATCATGGGGGGGGAAGGCCCTCTTCATAAGGTAGATTTTAACTAGCATCTTTTTGTCTGTGTTTGAACCAGTCCTAGGTAGAGGACCAATAGATATAGATATTCTATTTCTAAGAAACAAATTTGTCAGATTCAAACTTCCCTTTTAATGTCGGAACCGTTTTGCACAGTAAAATTAGAGCCCCAGAGTCCTAATCCTTTGTCTGTGACAACATAATCCTCTCCTCAGCAGCCTAGTCTGTAACTAACAGGATTTTCCTCAAGTAAGGAATAATCAACACAGGTAGATGGAACTTAAAAACAGGATCTTTGTTTCCTTTCTGCCTTTCCATTTATTACTGCAGGTATTTAATAGGAAATAGATATACAAGTAAAATTTTCTCTAAATATAATTGTTTTTCAATGCTTTCTATTCAGATTGGATTTCCTTGGTGAATAGGTCTATAAATGATAAATACATATTTAAGTGATTTAAAAATTATGTATGATGTATCTCACCACAGGACGGTTCCATGCATCTTAACGTATATTGTGCCTTTTGAAAAAGGTACATTATCCATGTCTAAACCAAAAATGAGTTCTTAGAGGATTCACTCACTGCTGGTAGCACCACCTGCTTGCCACCCTGGGGATTAGGTCCGGCCAGGCCTTGTGCCCTCCCCTGATGGTGTCTCTTTCTTTGTCCTCTCACCCTGCGGACCCCTCTCACTCCAGGAACCCCAGCCTCCTCTTCATGATTCGGCCCCTCTGGCCAGGTCACCATACTTATTTCCTGCCTCTCTCCACCCCCTCCCCCCCGGGTTATCAAAGTCCCTCTTGAAAAATGGGTTCAGGCAGTTTTCTTACTCACTGCCCCACTGGTGCCATTTCATCAGTGGCTGGTAGGGGACCTGGATATGCCCTCTACTCTGGGTCCTGGCTCAGGGGCCCTGTCATCGGCAGCCAAGGTTTGATCTATCCCATACCTCGCTGCTTTCCCCATGAGCCTTGTCCTACTTTCCTAGCTTCCCCCTTCTCGGGTTTGTCAACCTCCCAATTCCCTCTTCCCAGGGAGTGACTTTGGACTATCCTCTATAGCAGTGATTCTCAAACTAGGGCCGCTGCTTGTTCAGGGAAAGCCCCTGGCGGGCCGGGCCGGTTTGTTTACCTGCCGCATCTGCAGGTTCGGCCGATCGCGGCTCCCACTGGCTGCTGTTCGCTGCTCCAGGCCAATGGGGGCTGTGGGAAGGGGGGCCAGTACGTCCCTTGGCCCACGCCACTTCCTGCAGCCCCCATTGTCCTGGAGCGGCGAACCGCGGCCAGTGGGAGCCGCAATAAGCCGAACCTGCAGACGCGGCACCCGGCCCGCCAGGGGCTTTCCCTGAACAAGCGGCGGCCCTAGTTTGAGAACAACTGCTCTATAGTCCAAACCACACCTCACTTCACCCAGGGAATGACTACAGACTACTTCCATGCAGTCCCCTCTGTTGCCAGCTTCCTGAATTATATAGGCCCCACCTGTTCCTGCCCATCTGAGCTCCCTGTCTCCTCCAGGTGCAGCCTGGGCAGTTAATTGACTCACTTAGCCATCTTAACCCTTCCAGGCCTTTCATTGGGTGAATGCCTCCATCCCAGGATCGCTTCTGGTTCATTGGTTATGGGCATTGCTGGTTTTCCTCCTCAGATTTTCTAATGCAATTAAAATTAGGATTTTAACCAAACCTATAATAGCCCTCAGTAGAAATTTTGCAGCCTGTTTCCCAAACTGCAGCTTGTGACATTTATAGTTTTGCTCCCCAGAACAGTATTGTAGAAAGATCATATATCTCATGCCTATTTTTAAATCTACCTGCTAAAAGTCTTGGCAGAGTATTAAGCGACTTTGTAGCTGCTGCAGTTACCTTAGAAATAGCCCCTTGTCCTCAGAAATGATTTGCTGCTTTTTTATCCTTCACTTTCTATTGTGTTGTATGCAGTGATGTCATGTTGTATAATGCAACATCATAATCCAGTTGCCCAGGCTGTAGATGACTCTAAATGTAACCCACTGTTTGGTGAGTGCTATGTATCCCTCTCTGTGCAAAGTCCTCAGAAGGGAGGGTCTCTTGCAGCCCACAGCTACTGCATCTGGTTCTTCAGCTCATGATGGGACTCATGCTTTCAGTTCTGGAGGTCCCTGGTTCGGTCCCCAGTGTCAGCCAAGATGGTTGCTGGTAAGCATTACTGAAGCAGTGAGTTTTAAGTAGGAACTTTGAAGAAGGATTTTGTTCAAAGAACTTAAACTTTAAGCTCATTTTTTGAATTGAATAATACAAGTAGTTTCAAGTACTATATCTACCTGTTAGTCCCCCTGTGAACTTTTGAGGTTCTACAATTTAATTTTCCTCTCTTCTAAAACATTTCTCTGCCCTATTGCTATGTGATGGACCCCCCACACACACAAACTGACCCTACAGGGCAAACAGTGAAACTGACTATATACGGGGCTGTTGCAATCACAAAGTAAAAACTCTGGAAACGATAGAGAAATTGTTACTCTGAACTTTCAGTTGTAGTAATCTTATATGTTCTTAATATTCAGTTAAAAAAAAAAGCGTGTGGGCTTAAACTGAAAGTACCCTTTTAAAATGGCATTAGAACAGACTTTAGTTTTACTGTTAATTTTGAATAAAGGGTGTATCTGGTTCTTGAAGAAAGGAAGTAACTGAATTCCACAAGTAATATTTTAAAGATTAATGTTATCCAGTTGTAGTATGTATTGGCAATAAGCTTGGAAAATGGTAAGCACAGTATGCTAAAACTATAAAGGAGCTTAAAATGGATCTGGATGCAAAAATCTCAAATTTCATTACATTTTAATCAAAAGCTCATAAAATTACTTTTGACAGTATTGGTTATAAAATTGTTGGGCAACACACAAGACATCAAAACAGTGTTCATAACAATATGCATTTTTAACACTAATTCAGACCTCAAAAAATCTGCTTAAAATATCAAATTTCTATATTAGTCTAAAGTATTTTGGAAGTCTTGCTATTAGTGTGTAAAAAGTAACAACATAGTTAATAAAACCAAGAAAATGCATATTCAAATAGGTTTTTTTTTTTTAAGTGTCTCAACAGATGAAACAAATTCTCCAGTGTCTCCTTACAGATGGCAGGTAAATATATGCATGTAAAACTATATCACCTTATTAGCCCTTGATAATCATTTCATCCATGGATGTGCTACTGGTGTAGCATAACTTGCATAGTGTTTGTGTTCACAGATGTATTTGTTTGCAGATACCACATAATTGTGGTTGCAAATGTAAAGGTAATCTAAAAATGTCCCTCTTCATTTTGTATTGCATCTTTAATACAGACTTCATTTTTCTTTCTTTCAAATAATGCTTATATGAATTTAAGATCTATGTACTACTTCTAAGGCATTATGGGTCTTAATTTCGCCCTACTTTATTCTTGTATAATTTCTTTGTCTTGTGCGTAACAGATTTTTCTGTTTTCTCAGCTTTTAAATAGTCCTTATATTGTAGATCTCTTGTTTTGCTTTTTATTCCTGGGTAGGAAACACATTGAAGTGCTGTGAAATGTTTGTGATCAAACTCAAAATGTTTGGTTGTAGATTTCAATTCAGTGTTTGTTTTATGTTCATTTTATGGTGCCCTTAGGTGGTAATACAAAGACAGCTTTAGAAATGTAGATTGATTTATATGCATTGTCCTTGTAGGTAAATATCTCCTTTTGAATCATCTTTCTTTATATTTAGTGGATATGAGAACATTTAATTATTTAAATTCACTGATCTTTTATGAATAAGCCTTTTATTGTCTCCTTCAAATTATTATATTAATTTACATGTTGTAAAGATGGATATTTAGATAGTGCCATCTATTGCATACATTTCATTGTAGGTGGGAGTCACAAGAAAATGCTTTTTAAAAAAAGAATATCAGTGGATAACTGACCTGATGTGTAAAATTATGCACGCCTCAATTTGCATGCACAGTGACTCGCTGCATGCTCAAATAGGGTAATCACACATGAATAGCTGGTCACAAATCTACCTTTCCATTTGCATGCCTATTAGTGGTAAGTGTATACAATTTCAGTACATGCTAATTTGTGAAAATCAGGCCCAGCATGGATAATGAAGAAAGCTGTAGGTTTAAAAAAAAATAAAAATTAAGTAACAATTTAAGGCCATCGTTAAACTTATACTCTCCCCCATACATAACTTATTTTAGAGTCTTGAAATGTAAGAAGTGCTGTCGGTAGAAGTGACCTGTATCAGAGATTGGTGGAATTACAATGCTGCAAAACTGAAGCGTAACAGAGGCAAATAAGGCCCAAGATAAATAGTATTTCTAGTTAAACCAACTTTTCTGTTCAAATTTACCTCTGTAATATAATTTCAGTGTCCTCATAATCCATGCTAATGTTTAAATTCTTGCTGTCTAAAAACGTTGTTGAACTTTGCAGCCACTAGAAAACCAAAAGGATCTGACAGATGAGCAGCACTGGCCAGAAACACAGCCTGTTATCTGGCAGAATGAAGAGAGGAGGAGGAGCAAACAAGTTAGAAAGGAATATTTCAAGGTATTGTATACTTATTTTTTCATTTGCTGCCTCTTTTCCCTCTTTGAAGAACTAATGTTTCTAGTTACAACTTGAGCACCTTTTCTGTATCCTAAAGGAAGCCAATGTATTTAGCTTAATTATCACCAGACTTAGTATGATACAAACTGATACATTTATCTTCTGGTTCACTCTCTGCTGCAATTTGTAGAAGTAAGTGTGTGTATATCATCTAATCAAATACATATTAACAAACAATATTTTGAAATACTGTGTTTTCGGCATGAATCATTAAAATACTATGGGCTTTATTTCTCTTTTTGTAAGATAAGCAGGTGGGTTTTCTTGGGTAACTAAATGAAGGGGCCTGATGGGATAGCATTCTCTTCTAACTTGCACGTGAGTTATATTCTGCGTTGGTTCAGTCCTGTTAGATTAATACATCTGCCTCCAGGGCAATTTAAGAGTGTAGGAAAACTGGAAACATTTAGCTGAGTGAGGAAATGCTTCTTATTTCTCTTATCTTCAATAGCAAATGTAAACTTAAAACTGTGTTCTGAAGGCAAAGAATAAAACCTAACCTAGAAACCTTCCAAACATCCATCATTTCTTCTCTTCTTCCCCCCACCTCAGGATTAAAACCACAAAAAAATGCAAAATTATTTTAAACAAATGTTGATGCTCAGTTTGGTATTTTTGCAGTCTAAGAAAGATATACAGTACATCTTAAATCAGTTACCATATCCTAGTACAGTATGCTAATATCCCCCTTACATGTTTGATTTAGTAACTATCTTACTGCATTAACTTGAGGGTGAGAGAGAGGAAATACTCTGAAATTATTTCCGTTTGTTTGCAATGTGGACTAATGGTCACAAGATGTCAGTGTCCGCATGATGCAAAATAGGCACAAGATCACAGGCAACAGAGCAGAAGTCAATTTTATTTCCAACTTCTGTAGATAATTGTGGTGTTTTGTGACGAGCTTCAGATTAGGCTTTCTATCTATAAAGATATGACAGCTTTAACAGTGTTATAGAAGATCTAAATAAACTGAATCCAATAGCAAATTTCTTCTTTGAGTACAGGTGTCTCTGTATATTCAACTGAATACATATTTGCTCCATCCTCCTGAAACTGGAAAATTATTGCAAATAATGTCAGTTAGTCCACACCTGTGCCTCTATTTTCCTCATGCTCCACACTGAGGAGATAAGGGGTGGGGCTGACCAACCGCCTCTTCAGCTCTTTCTTAGCACCGCATGGCCTGAGTCAGAATCCTCCAATGTCCAGAGCTGATACTTTGTTATAATTTTTTCATTTTATTTATTATTTGGTGTTCACTAGTTAGTGTTGGATTCTCTGACGTGAGATTCTTTCCAGTCTCCCAGCGTGGGACTTAGATTATGCCTAAGATACCAGGTTTCAAAAACCACGTCTCCTCCCGTTGCTCCTTTTGGGCCAGTGGCGATAACCATACTGCCGCTACTGCCTTGGAGAAGCTCATTTCTCCATCAAATGCAATATCTGCTGTGCTTTTCTGCGAGAACTTTGGCTTCGGAAGCACCTTATGGAGTGCAGCAAGCCTCCAGTCAGGCCCAGGCTGGGGAGACCTCCCTGTACATCATCCAGAACTGGCAAGGAGTGTGTCCCCTAGTACTATATGTAACTCTGGAGCAAAGAGGGGGAAAGGGAAGGACTCTTTACATAAGACTATCCGGTTTGGCCAATATACATGGCAGAAGGGCATTGCTGGTACATGATGGCATAGATCACGTTAGTAGATGTGCAGGTGAATGAGTCCCTGATGGTGTGGCTCATGCCCAACAAGGAAAATAACAGAACACCACTGGCCATTACATACAGCCCCCAGCTAAAACCTCTCCAGTACATCAACGATTTATAACCTATCCTGGAAAACGATCCCTCACTCTCTCAGACCTTGGGAGACAGGCCAGTCCTCGCTTACAGACAGCCCCCCAACCTGAAGCAAATACTCACCAGCAACTACACACCACACCAAAGAAACACTAACCCAGGAACCAATTCCTGTAACAAACCTCGTTGCCTACTCTGTCCCCATATCTACTCTAGCGACACCATCAGAGGACCCAACCACATGAGCCACACCATAGGCCAAAACAGTCTCTATGTAAAAGAATAAATGGACACAAATTGGACATCAGGAATGGTAACATACAAAAGCCAGTAGGAGAACACTTCAGTCTCCCTTGACATTCTACTACAGATTTAAAAGTAGCCATACTTCAACAAAAAAGCTTCAAAAACAAACTTCAAAGAGAAACTGTCACCTGAGTAGAGCCTTGTAGTGCTTCGGTTTACTTCAGTGAATGTGCTTTCCGTCATATGTCTCATATGAGATCTCATGTTGGCGTTACTGTCGAGTGAAAAGGGCTTTTCTCTTTCTCTCTGCAACACATCCTGGCTATTAATTACATTTCTGTATTTCATAACTAACCATCACATTGTCATTCTGGATATAATTCTTTGCATGGTTAAATCAGTGGCCTCTTCAGAAAAGATTTGCTCAACCGCTATGGTGTCATCTGTAAAGTGACTGTGAAAACTTCAATGCCTGTAGTATTATATGGTTGCTGAACACCATTTCTGAGAAGATGGTGGTGTGGAGATGACACATAGCTCATTGATCTTACTCATCATCTTTCTGTGTGGTCCACTACCTATGTGAATGGAGTCTGGCTTTCTCAAGGCACTAGTTGCACAGAGTACTTCCTAGTTTGGTGGTATGCAATTTAGGATTATATCTTCTTAATGTGCTCTTTTTTGCTTTCCATTCACATTTGCTTTATGGCCAGTGTAACTGTTTGTATGGCCCTTAGCTGAAATGACCGTCAAAATTGCAAAAATGTACTGAGAAACTTTTAATAGACTAAAACATACAGCGAATGGGTAGTCAATATTTCTTTTTGTTTTGTGCATTCATTGTGGCCCCAGATCTCATTTAATGTGCACCATTCAAACCAGGTCTAAATACAAAATTATTAATTTTCTCATCGGTGTTTCCTGTGATGCTATCATCATAGTATCTGAGTGTTTCTCAAACTTTAATGAATTCAGCTTCACAATATGCCTGTGAGATTAGGTGATGTTGTTGCCCCAATTTTACAATTGGGGGATTTAAGCATAGAGAGGTCAAAGCTAAAATGGTTGTCTCCTCTAATTTTGGATGCCCAACTTAAACCACCTAGGTTCTGATTTTTCAGTATACTTGGTATTTTGATAGGACTGTGTATGCTCAAAGTACAGTTCAAGTTGACTTCACTTGCAGCTGTCTGTGCAGAGCACGTCTGCACATTAGAACCATTTATAGCTGAAATTAATATAGTATATATCAGACTGAGAGACTCCTAACATGGGAAAACTTCAGCTCAAATTGATATACCTCTTGGGTGGGGCTGGAAGCACTACCTATTATTAAGGTTGCTCTATCATTGCTATTATAAGATCCTGTTTTCAGTAGCTTATAACTTGGGCCAAATTTTTAACAGTCAGGCTGTAATTTTCCATGCCAGGTGTCTTCTGTAAACTGATTTTTTTTTTTTAAATTGTAGCTAAAATGTTTGTCATTTCAAAGAATGTTGCTTTGCCCATGTTATAAAATTCTGGTGACCCTTTCTTTAAAAAATCTCTAGGGCTGCTGCTTTGGAATAGGTACTTGAAATTTTACAGGATGGTGGCCTTTGTGTCCAGGATGTGCCCCTTGCTGTCCCCATGAAAATCTGCCCAAATTTGGGCAACTTATAAGCCTTTGAAAAATTGCAGTTCACACTTGCTCAGTAGAGACATCTTCAGTTTTAGCAGCTAGAAGCTCCAAAGGTGATCTCTGCACTGAGCATGCTCCAGCCCAGGGCTGAGCAGGTCTGAGTGCCTGAACTATGAACAGGAATACTGTCTTCTATTTCCTTATAAGACCCATTCCTCATTCAGTGCGTAGGATGGACCCTGTGGGGATGAACCAGGGTTGTCTAGTAAAGGAAGCGATTGTCTGTAGGTCCCAGGCTTCATTTGTTCCAGAAGTTTAGAGGTGTGTGGTGAATGAGGCAGCAGATTGCAGAAAGATTGGTCTCATAATTAAGGCAGTTGAATTCTGCCATTAAGAATTTAATGGTTTTTGGCCTTTGACCTACAGGGTCATATTGTTACATATAGTGATACATCCCGTACACAGGAAATACCTGCACTCTGGTGTCCTGGGCCAGGATCATTTTCAAAATCTAGTACTTCCCTTTGACCTCTCTTCAGCCCCAAAGGGGTTCTTAAAGCTTTTAGTGGTGGTGTCAGATGTTGGCTGCGTGAGTCTGTTCTTACAGTGCTGTCCTAGCTCTGCGCAGATGGCAGACACAACAGACCTAGATAGAACTGCCCAATAAGACCACAAGACTTGGTTTAGTAGCGAAGGCACCCGGCCAGGTTTCTTGCCGACGAAGCATGGTCCTAGCTTGCCGGATCAATGTCTACAGTTACACTAGCACATGTGTGCCCATGACAGTGGACCAGCTCAATCAGTGGTGGGACGTTCCACTGCCCCCTAGGCCAGACAAAGACACTCCCTCTAAGATCCATCTTTATAGACCAGTACAAACAAGTTGCGTGTTGCCCCTCAGACGTACTTAGTTACTGCTCCATGACATGGTTTACCACCCATTACCTTGTATATGTTGATTCAATCAAAACATCTGTCCATCACACTGTCATCCTGACCTTATCTCTAAGAGGGGGTCAGTGTATCCTTGTATCACCTTTGGGGAGTGTGTTCGTGCTATACTTGGTGTCGGGATGTTCTAGTACCACCCTTCTGGAATGTGCTTGCGTGAGTGTCCTGTGCCTAGCACTTAGGAGTGTGCATGTTTCTGCAATACCAGCCCTGTTCTTGCCAGGTTCTGTGAGCCTGCACACAAGCAGAGCCTGACTTTTGCTAAGATTGCTTTATATTAGCAAGGCTTGACCACTACTTTTGTTCAAGTCTTAGGCCTCATAATGGGCTTCTGATACCAGGCCTCTTGTCTCAGGCTCTCTTTCTACTACAAGTGGGGCTGGCTGCTTATCTTCAGCAAGAAGCAATTTTAGTCTTCCTGTATCTGAAAAGTCAAGGCCCAGTCTTACAAAGCAGTGCTAATTTCCACCCAGACAGCTCTCTCCCTCTTCCAGAATTGGGTCTCAGGCTAAATGTAAAGAACTCCAAATTATCCCACTTCAGTTCTGACACCTTATCAAGGGTAAATCAATCAGAATCACTTACAGATAATGTGGCTTGCATGTTCTATATCAGTAAACAGGAAGGCGCAAGATCCCCTTCCCTGTACACCGAAGCTATACAATTATGGAACTGCTGTATAGTCCAT